GAACTGCTCTAATGATGGAGAACCATTCTAAAGATGGGGAACTGCTCTAATGATGGAGAACCATTCTAAAGATGGGGAACTGCTCTAATGATGGAGAACCGTCCTGATGATGAATAACCATTCTGTTGATGAAGAAACACACTAATGATGAAAAACCTGTCGGATGATGGAGTTCGACACATCCTCCATCCTCCACACCTGCTGCTTTATGCTTCAACGTTCTGATTAATGCTTTGGATGGATTACCCTGGCTGACCCCTGCCTGATTCCCCCCCCCCCACACACACACACACACACTTGACCCCTGACTGAGTAGCACCTGAACAGACTGACCCCAGATGACCGCTGCATGACCTCAGGAACCAAAACTCATCCACCTTCAGTCCCCGTCTCCCTCCTGTTGACGTCTCACTCAGTCACTTCTGACTTGGACCTCTCCAGTCTCTCTTCCACCTGCTCCCTACCCTTACATCTGCAACATGTTTCATAAGGAGTCCTGCTGGGCCTCGTCTGTCCACCTGTCCATCACTGCAGACACACAGTGTCTCTCCTCTCTGGGTTTTATAACAAAACGTGGCCCTGTTTTAACGTTGGATCTCACTCCATCGCATCTTAAAAAGAGTCATGTTTGTTAAATAAAAAACAAACAGCATCGTGTTTATTGTTTTTTTATTTCAAACGTAATAAATCAGACAAAATATTCATAACAACATGATAATCAAATAACATGTTTGAAAAAGAGTAGGATGAATCACATGCTTAGTGGTACTTGAAAGTTTGTGAAGTCTTTAGAATTTTCTATATTTCTTCATAAATATGACCCAAAACATTAGATTTTCACACAAGTCCTAAAAGTAGATAAAGAGAACTCAGTTAAACAAATGAGGCAAAAATATTATATTGGACCATTTATTTATATAGGGAAATGAGCCAAAAGTACATACTTGTGAGTGGCAAAAGTATGTGAACCTCTAGGATTAGCATTTAATTTGAAGATGATAAAATTAGGTTACTCCTAGGATAAAGTTAGAGAGGCCAGACTGAGATGATTTGGACATGTCCTGAGGTGGGACAGTGGTTTGGACATGCCCAGAGGAGGCACAGTGGGTATATTAGTAGAAGGATGTTAAAAATGCAGCTGCCAGGAAAAAGACAAAGACGCAGTTAGAGAGGACACAGAGGACAGAGTGAGATGGAGGAGGATGTCCCACTGTGGCAACCCTGAAGACAGAAAAGCTGAAAGAAGAAGCCAATAGCTTCATGTACGCTCAATATTTCATTATCTATTATGAGTTGGACTTCTATGTCCATTTTGCCAAATATCATGAATTTAGTTTAATTTAAATTCAATGTTTTGTTGCCATCAAACCATATTTTCATTTTGTTTTTAATTATATTATTATATCCATGAGATTTTGTAAATTGTGTCCAGAACAAAGTGAGTATCATCTGCAAATATAATCCATTTCAGAAATCCAGCTACTTTACAAATTTTATTTATGTACATAATAAACAATTTTAGTCCAAGCACTGACCCCTGTGGCACCCCACAAATGATGTCTAAACATTTTGGTCTGTAATCACCTAACTGCGCAAACTGTTGCCTATTATTAATGTAGTTCTTTAACCAATTCCATCCCACCCCTGTAATTCCATACCTTTCCATGTTATAGAGCAGTATATAAAAATCTATAGTATGAAAAGCTTTCTTTAAATTGATCAATACTCCTAAAGCATCCTTTTTCTTATCCATACAACTAGTTATTTATTCAGTTAAGTTTTTCAATGCTGTAATTGTTGATCGGTTTGCTCTAAATCTACATTGGCTGTCTGTCAGCAGCTGATGCTTCTCAATAAAATTATCCAACCTGCCCACCTAATGTTCTTCCTGGATTTTAGAGAATTGTGAAAGTAGGGACGTTGGTCTATAATTTGTAAAATAATGTCCGTCCCTCGATATATACACTGGGATTACCTTTGCACTCTTCATTTTATTTGGAAATATGCTTGTTTGGAATTACATTAAATATGTAAATTAATTGTTTAAGTAAAGATTGAAACATCCCACCATCTGCAGGTAAGACTGTCATGGTCGGGTGCTATAGATGTTGGGCAGCATTAGAGGGAGGGTCCCTGGCCATGCATTCCTGGTAGCATAGACTAGCTCTTGTGACATGGAACATCAATTGAGAACACCAATTGAGTAAGCTCCTCGGATGAGGAGCGAAACGTCTTCTGTTACAAATAAAGTCCAGTTGTTTTTGTATTGAACGTTTTTTGAACTCATCATGTCCTGGATGACTGAGAATCTTCACCGACATGGAACATCACCTCACTGGTGAAGGAGCTGGAGCTTGTGTGCGAGTCTGAGCAGTACCAATTAAATACAGTTGATTCACCTGTACACACAGCTTGGGCTCTGGAACACAACTCTGGAGAGAGGCTAGACTCTATCCTACTCTGGAGTTGCTCAAGCAAAGAAGCATTGGGCGGATGTGGGGACACTCACACACCCCCAGCTGAATACCTTGGTGTGGGAGTTTTCTCTGGTGAACAAGAGCGCTGCATCTCTGTGACTCTGAACCACAGGAGGGAAGGTTCTGACTGTTGTTTCTGCTTATGCATCAAACAGTTCAGATTACCCCACCTTTCTCATCTCTGGATGGTGTCCTGGAAGGGATGCCATCTGGGGATTCCCTCCTTCTACTGGGTGACTTCAATGTCTATGTGGGCAATGACGGAGTTATCTGGAAGGGGGTGATTGAGAAGAAACAGACCATGAATGGTGTTCGCTTATTCGACTTCTGTGCTAGGCATTGGTTGTCCATAATGAAAACAATGTCCAACTATAGGGTGCTTGGACATAGGAAGAACAGTGTGGCTTTTGTTCTGGTTGTGGAACTGTGGACCAGATATTCACCCTTGCAGTGTTGCTAAAGGGGCCATGGAATCTTGTCTCTACAGTCTACATGTGTTTTATGGCCATGAAGAAGGCTTATTACCATGTTCCTTGAGTCATTCTGTGGGAGGCGCTGAGGGAGTATGGACTGCCTGGGTTGCTTTTAAGGGATATCTGTATCCTATAGAACCAAAGCAGAAGCTGTGTCTGCATTCTTGGCATAAAGTCGAGCTTGTTCCCAGGGCTCTCCATCTTCGATTCTGCTTGTGGTGTTCATAGACAGGATCTCAAGGAGCAATTATGGAGAGGAGGGTGTCTAGTTTGGGAACCTCAGGGTCTCATCTCTGCTTTATGTGGACAATGTGATTCTGTTGGCGTTTTCAGGCCAAGACCTTCAGCATGCATTGAGGCAGTTTGCAGCTGAGTGTGAATTGGCTGAAACAAGAGTCTGTTTTGTGTTCATTAAGTAAAAAATAAGAGTTGTTAAATGTCAATGGTTACGCTCCACAGGTTGGATGGGACATAGAGTAGAAAGATCATGTTTAGAAGGATCTGGATGAAGTGATAGAGAATATTCTCAGGGAGGAGTGAATGGTGATTGGAGCAGACCTGAATGGACATGTTTGTGAAGGAAACAGAGGAGATGAGGAAGTGATGGACAGGTTTGGTATCAAGGGAAGAAACCAGGAAGGGCAGATGGTGGTGGATTTTGCTAAGAGGAACATAGAGTGACCTGTAAGAGTGGAGGAAGGAGTACGCAAGTAGACTATATTCTGTCTAGAAGAGGAAACATGAGTGAGATTGGTGACTAT